ATTCATCATTGACCCGAATAAGAAGATTCGATTGACAATGCTGTATCCTGCTAGCACTGGCAGAAACACTGCTGAGGTTTTGCGAGTTTTGGATTCTCTCCAGACTGGCGACAAAGCGGGTGTCACTACTCCCATCAAGTAAGTTTCTGATTGTTATGTGTGAGGCCATAGACGCGGGCTAACGGGGCTGCAGCTGGGTTCCTGGCCAGGACGTCATTGTTCCTCCGTCCGTCTCGGATAAGGCTGCCGCTGCTAAGTTCGGCGAATTCAAGGCCGTCAAGCCGTAAGCTTTTTCCCATTCCCGGGTAAATGGATGTATCAAGATACTGACAGCTATGCAATAGATATCTCCGATACACCAAGTATCCTACCGAGCTTCTCAACGAGTAAATCCCATTTACGCGAGTGAACGAAATCGAATATCGTTCCAGGTGGACACACTTTATTTTCGCACAAAAGTTTCGTAGCGGGGTGATTGACATAATAGTTGTTATATATACTGCAATATGAAATGTAGTACATAGTTAATACATCTTGATATGGTTTTATTTCAAGTTCATTACTTTTGAGATGGATAGTTCAAATAGATGTCGTGACTATCTGTTTGAGCCGGCAAAATATGAATTGCAAACAGACACAAAGCGCTGCTTGCAAGACATTTGGTTTACTAACCCTTGAATGCCGGCGTATCAACGACAAGAGCTTTTGGATCAACCCCGTCAGCATTCTCAATCACGTTCGCGTCGTGCAAAATGGCAAACGTCTTATCTATAATGACGCTCCTATCGACCACCGAAACGTCGTCCGCGAAATTTACCGTTTTCATCCACTCTCGAGCATCCTCGGCCGTGTAGTCGAGATTCGTAGAGATGTAATCGACTGCTTTTTCTGGGTATGTCCGGAAATATTGGATACCCTTGTTCACTGCCGAGAAGAATTTGCCGATTGTTCTGGTTTCGGGTTCAGTATTGAGGAGACTATCAGCCGCCGTAATTGTCCAGGAGGGCCATCTGATACTATTAACATCACATCAAACACAACCCCGGCAAACGACAAATGTCTTACGGCGTGTAGATAGATCCAATATATTTTATTTCATGGTTGTCGTAATATTTCTTGGACGTAAAATATTCCCACATGAACGCGTCTGCCTCGCTATCTCTAACAGCGGCTCGCAAATTCTTGAAGGTCCCCACGATATTGAAGGAGACTGGAGGATTTCCGGGCCAGCCCTGTTGTCGCGCCAAAACGAATGCCATTACGTAAGAACCGCTATTCACGTCAGTTCATTCGTAACACATCAAGCACAATAAAGTGACAATGGTGTACCTTCCAAGACGACTTACACCAAAACGCTTTCCCTGGAGTTCAGCGATTGATTGTATGTCTTCTCTATTATCTCCCGTGCTGATAGCCCAACCTTGGCGAGAATTAGAAAATCCTCCATATAATGAAATTGATTAGATGGACTTGCGTAATGGCGATTGGACATATGTGCCAACGATTTTGTACTCCGCGCGACGATTTCCTAGACCAGCTACCCAACCCTCTGTCAAGCCGACGGCAACATCTGCAAATAGTTAGTTCAGTTCAACGTCATTTTATCTTCCTCTATAGTCACAAGCAAAATATTACCAATATCATTTTCCTTTAATGCCTTTATCATATCACCCGTACCCGTCAGAAAAGGCTTCAACTCAGGTGATAGACCAACATCTTTGTAGTACCCCTCAGATTGCGCAAAAAACAGCGGCGTCGAGAAATGTTCGGGCACGTAACCAACCTTGAGACCGCCTGCAGCTGTTGACAGTTGCTTCGCTAAAACCGAGCGAGCGGCCATGGTTACTGTGGTGCCAAGGTGGATTCTGGGGTACCTGTTCGTCCTTGGTCTTATGGCGATGGCAATATTCTGGGTCGGGAAGTCAGGCTGATGGGAGACAAGACCCATACAATATTCGACATTTGCAGCCCACTTACAAATGTACAAGTACTAAGCTACCAGAATAACATATTACGGTAATTTCAGAGACTTGTAAATTACCACTGAAACTAAATTACTTGAAATTACCTTACAGACACTTGAGTGCTCATATCTAATGCCCCGTTTGCAATTTTGCCTTGTACATAATGCTGGGTTTCGAGAAATACGGCACGTGACATCAGACTTCCCAAACCCAACTGGACAACCGTTTTGCTTATCTGCAAACTTTGATTTCCACGCGTCACGAGCGCCCCTGTTGCCGGGTGACTAATAAATAGCTTTACGTTAGCAGGTTTTTACAGTAATCCTGCCAAGTACAACTTTTTGGCATGTGAAGGCTAACGGACTGTGCTAGGGCCAATTCAAAGATCGAAGGGACTGCTAAGAGATCAGAGCCATGCCAAGGTCATACCGTGAAACAATTAAATGTTAACTTGCTGGTCCGCGACTGGTGCATCGATTATTGTACGATTTGTGATCGCTGACCGGTGAGGCTAAGCATTTCAAGGCATGATGATCTCACAGCTACAACTCTGAAAGTGGGGAACCAGTCAACTACACACCTTTTCAAAAGCTAAAATTGGAGGGTAATCTGAGGATTACCCTCGTTGTCAGTCTCTCAGACGTGACAAGCATACGCGACATATTGTTGATACATAAGTTACCAAGATTGAGACAAGAATTGTAGCTGGAAATGCAACTTTACTATATAGACAATAACTAAACAAATGACAAATATTAAGTACTAACTATACTCCATTACCATAAAAAACGCGCACAAAAGCTAGAAAATGTACCTGAACAATGACGCAAAACTCCAAGTCCCGATCTTAGTATTGTATCCCCGCCAGGGCACCAGACCACAAGATGAATCAAATGACGATTTTAATATCATGATGGAAAAGATTTTTGTTTCGACGAAGAGAAATCATGCCGTATAGCGTATGCGTGTGGGCACATTGCTCATTGTGTATTTAGTCCTCGCTGCCACTCTTGTGCCGGCTGTACATTGGTTGCTGGAAGACCGGTCGGATAAATGGATCCTGAGATGGTATGGGAGCCAAAGACTGACGTTTCTCGCGTGTAGCACTACTACTGGAAGCACGGCGATTCTTATCCGAGTACTTTGAAGAGGACGATGATCTGCGAGGTATGTTGGAAGAGAAGCAGTTTCCCATTCTGAAGAAGAATAGAGTGCTATATTATTGAGTGTAGGAGGTGATTGTCGATAGAGAGCAGTATTGGGTGGTCAGGGGAATGGCTCAAGTTTATATATTTAGTAGCACTTTGTTCGGCTGGCCGAATGGCTTTAACATGGTCAAGTGATCGGTGGAGAGCGCCGTGAGTAGCACGCGCAGTTACAGTACGCTAAACCTTAGATACCCTTGGTCACTTGTCAATGCCATTGCGCTAAGCCGTATGGGTGCTAGCGCGTAGGGTTTTCCTTGTCCTTGGCGATGAGGCGATTCAGATGCGCGTGCACAGCCCCTGTCGTCCAAATCTTTCCCCGGAGTATCCAAGTGTCCTCAATGGAGACTGTCCTTCTTTAACGACCGAATGGCTCGCTGACAGTGCAGACTACAGTATGAGTCATCACTCGATCATAATCTTTTGCCTGGAGTGCGTCACTGCGGAGAGCGTGCAACATCACGTCATAGGTTATTAATGCTGCCAGTTCACATGCGCGATTTGCCCTCTTTGCGTGTGTGTGTAAAGCAAGCCTTTAACTGCCCGGACTGTAGCTAATGGAATCCTGCCCGACTGGCCAGGTCTTTTTGAACAATGCCCAATTCTCGCACGCACCGCATTTTCGTTTCTGTGGCCCCGCTACCGATTTCCGAATATGATCGCCTGAGACTGAATATTTAGCCATCAAGCGCAGGTATCTAAATTTAGAACCCAAGTCTTCGACACGCATTGAGCTGCCACATAAACAATTACTCGCGTTTGAAAGTAACTGCGATCTGCCACAAGTATACCTGTTGTCTCAGAATGGTTCTAGAAAACAATTAAGCCAAAAAATTGTAAATATATCGACCAACACAATCCCTAACTCCGCGTCGTTTTAGTTCATTAAATCTTCAATCTGGCCGCCAGTGATCTTTCTAACTTCTAATCAAGTTGGATACACTCGGGGACAGACTCTACGAGTTGTCGCTCTACAAGCCGCCAGGGAGGCGGGCATAAACTCCTTAGCGGGAACTCGTGAGAAAGACTGGTCACGATGGGCTTTTATGAGCCGCCTGGTGGATAGTCGTGTTGCTAGCCGAAACAGTGAGTTGTTCGAGTTCCTCTCACTGGACAGATGAAGACGCTGACTGCGCGTCAAAGTCTGATGTATGTGTTGAATGCGGGTCAACCCTATAACAGTACCATCCTGCAGCTCGATATGACTCTGGCAAACGGGTGGGAGTGAAAGGTTAATCCCACGCTTCCCCCTTTTTTCGGTTCTCTCCTGTTTATACATTCGCTTTTGCATTCCTTTTGGCCGGTTTTGGCATTCGCCCATCTTCTGCAACCTCATCGTTCTGCTTGGTGGGTCAGCGCACTCCTACTGTAATCGCTTGGTGTTCCTTCTCTGGCGCACGTTGGCCTGGTCCCTGGGTGTCCATATCGGGGTACGCGGCCCTGATAGCTGCTCCCCTTGTCGCCTTGCGGCCTGCCTGGGCACTAGTGTGGCCGGTGACTGCTGCCCTCCCTTTCTGTCCGTGCGGAACTCGAATTAGATGGTGAGATCTGGTCAGTAAGCATTGCTAGCTAGTGGCCCTTGTTGTTGTAGTAGACGCGCAGGCCTGCTTGCGGGCTGGGGGGGGACCTTCAAGTTCACGTTCGGGTGTGCGTGTTTCATTGGGCGCAGGCGCCTCTTTCTTTTTTCTTCGTCCGTTTCTTTCCAACATTTTCTTCATAGCTACATCATTTTGCCTATAAGGCAAGATACATGGGAGCAGTCATGTGACGTGTAACCCTAACCCTAGATTAGCCCGTAATGCTTGTTCTGGGCAGAAACTCACATGGCTACGGGTCATTAGTATAGTGGTAGTATGCCTGCTTCGGGTGTTACGAAGCTCTGCTGACTTGTGTTTGCAAACTGCAGGAGACCCCGGATCGAGCCCGGGATGACCCCATTTTTTTTGTATAATGGTACCTCAGTCTTAGAATCTCAAACCTTTACTTTAAATTGTATTTTCTGAATTAGATTTATGCTTTCTGAATTAAATTTATGCCGTCTAAAATTTCGCTGGGTTTAGTTTTTTTAGGGTGGCAATTTATGTGATGACGCCAGCGGTGCTGATCCGAGCGACTGCAACCCGAGGCAAGCATCCTGCGGCTCGTCATCGTCACCATGTTTACTATCGTGATAACTGCCGAATTTGTCCCAACAAAATATCTCGCTTGTGCGTTAATTACGCTTACGAACTGTACAGCACTCTGATTTTGCATAAAATGACCAGCCCGATTTCCATGACTCCTGTGCGGATCTTATCGTCATCGCTGTTGCATTCGCCGACGCATATTTCGGCCTCGGTTCTAAATTATGCGTTGTCGATCGTTCCCGGTCGGTCATCGCCACAGAAGAACTTAGCTCTCGAATCAACGGAGTTCCTGGATTTCCAAGCGAAGTCTGACGAGAAACTGAACGAGTCCCCTGAAATTGTGAGATATGAGGCAGCTGCAGGCGAATCTACAACCAGTATTCAGAAAAAATTGGCTAAACATGGTTAGTTAATTGATTTTGGATCACAATAAAATCAAGGACTCGACTAACGAATACACCAGGACACCACCTTATGACTTTATCAATTAACGAAATGGAGGACCAGTCAATACAGCAAGAATGGTCTGCGACTAACGAAGGATCAGCCCTCACTGATCCTAGGAATGATATAAGTCGGCAGCTCTATGTGCATGCGTTGACGTACTTGCTCCGAGCACTGCCCGCCAACTTGACTCTTTCAGAAATCATGGACATTGGCAAGTTTGTCCCGGATTCTGTTATTGCTACCGAATACCAGCGGCGATCTACACCAGATGTTAATACGATGTCGGCGAACGGTGAGCTGCCCAAGTCGCAGCAGGACAATTCTAAGTTGGAAGAGGCCATTATATACTTGATACGAGGGCTAGCTGTGACAATGAAAGTCTCGACGCCGTATGTTATTGAGTTGCTTCGGAAACTGGCTGAGAAGGAACGAGAGTACAAGGTCTCGGAGCGAACCTTGGCACTATCGTGTGCAGTTGTCGACAGACTATCGCGTAGTTCCGTTGGCAATGCCCTATTGGTCACGGGGGTAAATGTGCTTGGTGCAGTTGGCAAGGGAATTGGTGAGGGATTGGTTATATTGACGGATGCAAATCGTGCGAATATCAAAGATTGTGAGGGAAACTGCTAAACTCCCAGAGAAATCTAAGCAGTAGAAGAAATAGACAGGAAGTCTGATTTCGTACAGTAGTTGATTGTTATTTATACTCGTGGGTCTGACTGCGACTTTATTGTTTTGGCTTACGTGCTTGGTGTTGGATAGAGTACTGTTTGTAAGTAACTGGTTTTGGCGTATGTTTGGTGCCCATCTACTCTTGAATGAAATAATTGGCTTACTTCCATAATGTTCCCATTACAAGTAGTAGTGCAAACACTGTTCTTCATATTAGTCTCAGATATTATACAACTTGAAATGAAATTCTTTTATGTATCCAACCCCAAACACGATTCTCAAATTTATTTATTCGCCAAGTTTCTTTACGACTGTTTCGCAATTACGCGCACCAAAGCAAGCATTGGAAACAGGACTAATTTGACGCGAGCCTTCTTTCGGTCTGCTTGTTGATCTGCTGCTTGACTTCCCGGACCTCCAGTTGAGTCGCGTTATGCTTAATTGTGACCTGATTAAATGGATTTTCCTCTGACTTGTCAAATTCCTTCTTAATCAATTCCTTCATCTGATTAAGCCTTAAGCCCTTATGCTCCTCCTTGATGGTCGGCAGTCTGCGTTCTTCGTATGCTGCAAAGGCAGCCTTATATCTTCTCTCTGGATGCCGTTCGATGCCTCCATTTGGACCAGCCTTAGATCCACTGGCCCCGCTAATCGACAGAGCGTCAAGTGCGTCATCAATATTCGAAGCAGAAAGAGTAATCGAATCCTTACTTGACAAAAAGTCGTCAATCTTGCCTGCCCTCTTACTCGCAACTTTCTCTTGTCCACGCGATGCACCAGCCTTAGGCTTACTCGGTAATGACGCCACCTCTTCTTTCAACAATTCCTCACGCTCCTGCTTCTTCCGCAGGGCTTCGGCTTTCTTGGCGTCCTCTGCCTCCTTCTTCGCGTTCGATTTGGTCCCCTTGCCCCATTCCCGGTCTTCAGTATCTGCCACCTTGCGGTCAACGGCAGCTTGCTTCTGGGCCGCAGCTTCAGCCTTGCGAGCATTTCCGGCAGCCTAATATTCGTTGTGTTAGCATTTATTGTTGCGCAACCGTAGCTGCGGTCATCGTTACCTTTTTGGAATTTTCCGTGTTCTTCTTTGCTCCCATATTTTGCTATAATCAACGAAATGTCAAAAAAAAATGATCCGAGTATTATTAAGATTGCCAAAGCTCGCCGTCCAACCGAGTTATGGATTGATATTAAAGATAGGAAAGCCGGGGGACAGTAAGGTAGATCACGCGGGCAAATCTTGCTGGATTGGAATTGCTCTTCCCGATGACGTCCAGATGAGCTCCCAACGGAAATCCACAAGAGATGCACCTTGAACACGGATGCGTCAGGTAGTTTTCGACGCGCCCCTGACCCGGACATTTGTCACCAGTTTAGAAGCAACTGGGTTATTACTGATATAGTTGGCCGTGCATTGTGGATGTAAGATAACTTGGTCGAAGCACACAGTCATAGACTTTCATCAGGAGACTTTTGTAAACAATATGACGGCTATGGAAGCGGATGGTCCTGTCAAAAAGTACGTATGGTTTTATTTGCAATAGAGTGAGATGGAAGTACTGATCCGCGCAGTGTTACAAGTCGCAGGGCGGCATTGAAGCGGATATTGGCGCGTACCGGACCGTTTACTGACGAGGCGTATGTTCCTGGTCCAGAGGTCTATGATTTCCTTTCCATGATGAAGATTCTGTAAGTTGGGTTTTGTGGCGTTTATATCACGGCGACGCGATGATTTGCCATGAAGATGCTAACCGCGGTTAATGCAGGGTCATGTAAGTCCGTATAACATTCCGAATCGGTCTTGAAGTGACATCGTGCCTGGTGCTAAGTTAATGCGGTATAGTGGCGCGGGCGGTCTTGGCTGTGAGATTCTAAAAAATCTAGCACTTTCTGGGTTTACAGACATACACGTCATTGACATGGACACAATCGACATATCCAACCTGAATCGTCAGTTCCTGTTTCGGCAATCCGACGTCGGTAAATCCAAGGCCATCGTGGCAGCGGAGTTTATCATGAAGCGTGTCAAGGGCGTCACCATTACTCCTTACTTTGGAAAAATTCAGGATAAGGATGAGGGTTATTATTCGCAGTTTGGTATCGTCATATGTGGACTGGATAGTGTTGAGGCGCGACGATGGATTAATGCTACGCTTGTCAATATGGTCGACATGAATAATCCTGAGAGTTTAAAGCCACTTATTGACGGTGGCACTGAGGGTATGTGCCAGTGTGGATTTTTGGACATCATTATTGACTTGTGCAGGATTTAAGGGCCAGTCGCGTGTCATATTACCCACCATCACGTCTTGCTACGAGTGCTCTCTCGAGATGCTTGGAAAGCAGCAAACTTTCCCGATGTGTACTATTGCCAACACTCCCAGGTTACCGGAGCACTGTGTCGAATGGGCCAGCGTTTTGGAATGGCCTAGAGTTTTTAAAGGTATACACATTTACTGCCAAATGTGTTCCACACTCAACTAATGGTGGCGCAGATAAAAAATTAGATAACGACAATCCAGAGCATGTTCAATGGCTATATGAAACCGCGTTGCGTCGTGCTCGAGAATTTAAAATTAGTGGAGTAACATATTCACTAACCCAGGGCGTCGCGAAGAACATTATTCCCGCTATCGCATCCACTAATGCCATCATCGCTGGTATGTACCTGACTCGTAATTACAAGTTCAATATCTAACAAATAGCTAGCATCGTGCTGCAACGAAGCGTTGAAGATCGCTACCACTTGCAGCCCGTACATGAACAACTATATGATGTACAGCGGCAATGACTCAATTTACACCTACACTTTTGAGTATGAAAAGAAAGACGACTGTCCTGTGTGTGGAAATCTTGCTAGTGACTTCGACGCGAACCCAGAGTGGACTCTTGAGGAGTTTATGGAACAACTCCCTGATTCGCAACAAGTGTATGTAGTTTTACTAGATTTCCAATCTACAGATATTAACGCGGACCTCAGACGAATCAAAAATCCATCCCTGAGAACAGCAGAGCGCAACTTGTACCTGCAATCACCGCCTCAGTTGGAAGAAGCCACACGGCCAAATCTTTTCAAGAAACTCAAGGAATTGGTTTCAAATGGTCAAGAAGTTTCAATCACGGACCCAGGGCTTCCGTTCAGTGTCAAGCTAAGGCTCCTTTATTAGATTATTTGTATAGTATTAGGATTACAACCTCGCGCAATGTTAGAACACACCGTATGCTGACTACATCCACAAAAGAAAATACACCAAAAATAAAGCAATTGAAAATCTATTCACCTAGCCTACACATCTATTTGCCCAATAGACGGAACCTTGTCCATCGCCGTTTTGATGATCTCTTTTCCGTCAATAATACCGGTGGTCAGAATCAAAATATTCCGCCGTTCAGTCTCCTGCTTAGCAATGAATCGCAATGCGGCGATTTCGGTGAACGTGACACCGCCCAAGAAAAATACTACGACGGTCTTCTTCTCCTTCTTTGCGCTTAGCATAGCTCTTGCTCGAAGTGCGCGCTCTTCGCCTTTCTGAAGTTCATCGAAGTGCTCGCCGTTAATGTTCCGCAATATGTCATCTGCGCCGCGCCATCCCGAGCCTAGACTTGATATTCTGGTGCCAAGTGCGCGTTTTTGGATAACCATCTGCACTAGTCGGATACTCAGCGGTGCATAGCCGGAGTAGACGTATGCGAT